CCCCAAAACCCCAAAACCCCAAAACCCCGTCTGATTGAATTATAAATGAATAATGGTAGTTGTTTAAATTTATAAAGTTTTATGATTAAAAATACTGCTTTTATAAGGAATCACTTTCATTCCCTCTAATATCTTTCTCACTAAGCTCAGACCTAATAGCAATTATTAACTTAGTGCTAAGGTCTACTGAGTATTCAAAGGAGATATATAATGACAGGGTAGCAGATAAATGACAGAATAAAAGCTGTACTGAATAAAGATAGAGTTGCCCTGAGTAGGACTATTACTTTGATTGAGTCATCAAGAGAGGAGGACAGAACAGATGCTGATAATCTCATGCGTGAACTGTTTGCTCAGACACCACATAGATAGAACAAAGCAATAAGAATAGGAATATGTGGATCACCTGGTGCAGGCAAATCTTCTTTAATTGAAAAATTAGGGTTATACATCACAGAAGACTTAAAGCTGAATCTGGCAGTGCTGGCTATTGATCCTAGCAGCTAGAGATCTGGAGGCTCTATACTCGGAGATAAAACTAGGATGGATAAACTATCCTTCATTGATAATGCTTATGTTAGGCCATCTCCTACTAGAGGAATGCTAGGAGGAATAGCATTGAATACAGGAGATGTGTAGTAGCTTTGTGAGAGAGCCGGTTTTGATGCTATTATTGTAGAAACAGTAGGAGTTGGCTAGAGTGAAATTGAAATTGATAATGTAGTAGACTTCGTTGTTTACGTAGTTCCTCCAGGCAGTGGAGACGGTCTTCAGGGCTCTAAAAAGGGTGTCATGGAGATAGCTGACTTGGTGGTAATCAATAAATACGACACTGAGTACAAGAAAGTTTGCGAGAGACTTAAAAGACAGATTGAAGGCTCCTTGACTCTTACCATTCCAAAGTACAATAGAGAAGATTTCACTTGGTATCCCTCAGTAGAATTAGTTTCTGCTAAGATGCCTCTAAATGTTGAGAGTATTTGGAATCATGCTGAGCGATTCAGACAGGAAATGGGAGAGTTTAATCTTTAGAGACGCAGAAGCGAGTAAACCAAGAAGAGTATGTGGAGGTTCTTGGGAGACTCACTCATGCGTAAGCTAAAGAATGAATATGAGGAGCATGGCAATGTCTATGATAAGGTTATTAAATAAGCTGAGGCAGATATAATGAAGGAGAAGATATCTGGTCATGAAGCAGCCATGAGAATCATAAATGCGATATTTACTTAGAAATAGCAGTGAGAGCAGATTGGTAAAATAAAGTGTTGTAGAAGATATATAAATTATCTGTGATGATGTTTAGTTTAATTGAATTAAAATCTATAATAAAATAAAATGAGCAATCTAAGTTAAGGTTTCGGTTCCAAGTGTAATAAAAATATCAATTTAACACCATCATAGCAAGTCTAAGAGCAAGCAATGGTTTCAACCAAACTGGCTACTCAACTCAAGGTATCTACCAACAATTGAAATATTAATTTCTTTATATAGGTCTTAACAATAGATTTAACACATTGAACGTTGGAGGTGGTGGATCTCCAAGAGGAGCGTTTGACTAGCAGTCAATGATGAGCGGCACTGATAACACTGCTCATTTAAAGGGAAAGCTTAGTAGCTTGAATGAGACTATTAGACAATTGCAGGAGCATCTTAATTCTCATAAGAAAGAAGTTCAAATCTTAAGAAGTGAAAAGGAAACTCTTGAGAGTGTGTTGACTATGAAGTGTCAAGATACTAGGAAGGCCCTTACTAACGAACTCCACAGGGTAGAGGAGGAGATTAAAAGACATTACAACAACCAGCATGCTGAGAGCCAAAGACTTCAATAGCAGCTTACTGGTCTGAAGACTGATAAAACTGCTCTTGAAAAGGACATCATTAGAATGCAAAAGAGAATTGAAGAATTAGAGTTACAGATTGGTCATGAGGATGAAGAGAAATGATTTGAAATGTATTCATAAAATGCACATCAATATGATGATTTGCTTGATGAATATTGAATTTATTATAGAGATTAAGACTTTAACTTATTTCAAATTAATAGACATTATTTATCTATTTATCTCTCACTTACTTATCGCATTAAAGTTAATATTTATAACCTTCTATTCAACATCTAACAATAATTCAAGGTGATTGCTTATTTTGAGTTCTTGACGGCAGCACTATGTAATTAGTATGACTCTGTCTATTTTACTTTTTCTCTCTTTTGAATGTATGCACTTCTGAATTAGAATTAGTTTCTCTGGCATCGAATTCTATGATGGAGTTTCTTTGCTAGGTCTAAGGCTCATCCACAGCAGGTCTTTTCTTGCTGTTATTCTATGTATGATTTGCAGATCTATCAGTTCTGCAAGTCATATTATCTCTAAATAACCTGGATGGAGATCTTGAAGGGTTTCTTGGATATTTCTTAGGCGAATATTTTGACCTTACTAAGTTATTCTATTCTTCGATATCATTAACATCAATTTCATCAATAGTATCACTATCACTATCTTCTAAATCTGTATCATTCAAGTCTACTTAGATACTCTGCTTTATATTCAGGTCATTGTTATTATTAAATGTCCTAGTCTTGTTGCTTTGAATGGCTACAGTCTAATTTTACTAGAATCTGTGATTATTTTCTTAAAGACTGTGCTAGGATTTATTGATGTTGAGGTATCTCTCAACTATATTTCTACTCCTAGCTCTTTAATCCACTCCCATTGCCCTTGTGGGTGTAATCGACCCTGATTTATCTTGAGATCTACTGGTCACCATTTAAAATGAATTTGCATTATTATCAGCTTTACCACCTCTCTGTGTTTAAGCCATGATTGTTTGATTATATTTTAATAATTTAAGCTCTAGAGGTATCTCTTGTCTCCTTGCATCTTATTATTGCTTTATAAGTTTATTTCTTGCTTGCTATATTCTAGTCTTAGATATTCCTGTGAAGGTCTTGCGTCCTTCATCTGCTTTAGCTAATTATTCAGTTACTGCATTTCCAATTTGAGATTAAGTTAGCATAGTTTAGCCTAATTATTGTTGAGTTTGCTTATTTATCCTATGATGATCCTGATTTTAGCTTTAATCCTATTTGCTGTTTCTTGGAGTTGGCTTTTAATGTTATTGAATGGTATATCTTGTAAGATTTATTTTAGTTTAAGGCATCTATCTATTCTTAATTCTAGGTTAGCTATACTAGCTTTTAATATTATTAACTCTTGCTGAGTATGGAGATTGACTGCCAGTTCTAAGTTTCTGCTGATGCAATCCTTTGCTGAAATCAGATTTGAGTAAATCTTTGATTGTGCTTGAGTTAAGTAGAGCCCTGCTAGAATCAAAGTCGTCTTAAAGTAGCTATTGATAATTGTCTGAATTATCAAATAACCTCATTAGGTTTACTGGAGTTGCTTTCATCACTCGAGAAGTCAATCTGCCAGGGGATATTCCAGTTTTATTATTTCTTATACTCCTAGGTTCATCCTTGATTGAAGTCTGACTCATTTCGCATTCCTCTACATAGCTTTTTTAAACTATTTGAGTTGGTATAGTTGTGAGTTTATAATTGCAAGCAGTATTTTAATAGCAAATTTCATCAGGAATATCTAATAAAGTATATATAAAAACTTCTATGATTCCTTACTGTTTAAGAAATCATCTTCATTAGTTGCATACTAGTTAGATAGCACTTGAGTATGATGTCGCTGGTGGATTGATTTAGACAGATTAATTAGATTATTCCTCGAAACTTTCACCTTCATTATAATTAGGAATAAATTTTATCTATTTTAGCGTCTAAATTATTTAAAATCGCGCGTTCTGGGGTTTTGGGGTTTTGGGG